TAGTACAACAAATGTCAGGAAATTTTTTAGTTGTAGCTTCCTTTTATTATAGTACTTTACAGTATACATACATATGTACGTTTATGGTGTAATTAACAACTATCATGTAATAATAAAATCCATTTACTTAAAAATCATCCGATTAAGTACAAAAGATCACAAGCAACTGCTAATGGCGCTGTTTAATGCGCCTTCCTAGGTATGACAATATAAAAGTTCGTACATTTGTATACATCCATATGTATGTTTGTATGTTTATTTATGCGCAAAACACTATATTTAATTTAATAAGCTTTTATTAAGGTGGTTTGTAATTTTCTTACCAACGCAAAAAAAAACTGTTTGTTATTAAAATAGTCGTCGTCTGTCTAGAAATGTACTTTTCTCTATCACCAGCTAACTGATTTCTAGAAATATGCAGATTTGGCTTGTTTTCAAAAAAGACAGGAGCGTCACTGATGCCATTAAACACTGTTAAATTCGAAATGGAAAGATATAGTACATATCGATGGCTGAGTGGAAGATGGACCTATAACAGCAGCCAGTTCAAAAATGCCCTATCCCAGAAAACTTTTCAAGAACGCTCTACATCAGAGCTTGATTGAAAACCGCCCTATTTCAGAATTTTATTGAAAAACAAACTATCTCAAAATTTGGTTGAATGACGCCCTTGCTCAGAATTCGGTTCAAAAACGCCATATCTCAAAGGAAAATACATTGAAAATAAGCTGAGATAGGGCGTTTTTCAATCGGCAGCTGAGATAGGGCATTCTTCAATCAAATTCTGAGATAGGGTGTTTTTCAATCAAATTCTGAAGTAGGGCATTCTTAAAAAGTGTTCTGAGATAGGGCGTTTTCGAACTGGTTGCTGAGATAGGCAGATCTTCCACTCAGCCATCGATATATAGTTTGAGTTTGCAAAACAAAGAAAAAATGTTTGTATTTATATTTTGATTTGTAAACTTAGTCAGCATATTGGTGTTCGTTTTTGGCTATTAAGGTTCCACTGAGTTTGCAAATCAGACGATGCTGCTGTTTATCATTATGAGGACGATGATATACATATAACTAAAAATACGTAATTATTCAATGTTGTGTGAATGTGAAAAACAAACATCGGTCGATGGGAGGCGCATTGCCAACACCCTACTATGTAAGTAAAATCGTATGTACTGACTAAGTATGTACGTATGAATATTGTACAATTGCCAACGTTTGTATACATCATCACATCACGCCACATTTCTGCCAAGCAAACAAAAAATATTTTGTTGGAGGAATACTAAAAACAAAAAACAAGTTTCTCTTTTTGGTTTTGTTGACCCACACAGCACTTGGAGAGTGTAATATATTTACAGTGGCGATGGCATGATTCACGCAAATTAAATGTATACATGTATCTGCAACCAACGTGGCCAATATGCAGATCAGAGGGAAAGACAGTCATTGATAAACAAAATACCTATATACATACATATGTACGTACATATGTAACTGGTATATGAATTTACCTATACATTAATGTAAATTAATATACTCATATTATAGTATATTTTACAGTATGCACTTGAAAATTGTTAAGCCTGTTAATATTACAGCACATTTTCTCTACCTCTACTATAAATTGTCAGCAGTATGGCCCCAAAATTCCAAACTTCAATGGAGCGTGCATTTTTTTTTAGTATTTATTGCTTATGAAGATAAGAAATCTTTTGAGCTACATGCAATGGGTGTAGCTTTAGCTCTCTTCCAGCTTAATGCGCTAAATTCAAGAAATATATTGTGCGTGTTATTATGTACATTATTTTGTTTATATGTTAGTCAGAAGAAATTCCTTGACTTAGTAGTCTTTTTTCTCTTTTCTCTTACTACACTAAGCGCATATGTGTATTAATTACTCATTGTCTTGACAAAAATTCAAACTAATCAGTTAATTGCAATTCAAATGTTCGTTAATATTATTTGCTATCGTTAAATTTTTAAATCACGTGCCTTTATTTAAACCAAATAATGTACTATTGAATGCTATTTGAGGAATAGAGGTTTTCGGGGTAAGAGATGCCTATACAATATCTCAATATATTTATATATTTATTAGGTATATACATATGTACATACATTTATGAAGGTCTCTACAATCAAACGTTACTAATAGCAATTCTTAAATATGTAAGAATGTACATTTACGCACGCATTATGCACATATGTATGTATGAAAATTCATAAAATTGCCTCTCGATATTTAAAATTAGTAGCAGCTGATAAAAAGTGTACTGGCTATAGATAACACACGAGATTTTCAATGTCACTGTAAACCTAGCACAAAAGCGATTGCCGAGTTATTTTATACTGGCGCACACTCATAAATACATATGTATGTACATACCTATTAACTAAATAGTGTTTAATTTTTGTTATGAAAGAGAGGGCTGATTGTTTGCATAGAAGTGTAAACAAAACATTCTTATTTTTAAAGCAAAAACTATGACGATAATGAAAATTGAAGTTGCTTGACGAAGACGTGTTGTTATGCGGGGTGTGAGGGATGTGTGTTGTCTTGCCGCCATTGGCTGTGCCGTAAGGGATGTCGCAATTAGGGTTTGCGACCGAGCAGCGCAACACGGGCCCGCGAAGTTGCGTGGTCTGTTGTGCTGTGTTTTTTTATACAAGGAGAAAGCATCGAAAGCCTGTACCAAGTAGTGTGGAACTTTAATCCGAACTAAAACTCCCTGTATGTCCGCTGTACCGTATCCCCCCGCCAGTCACAAGTTGCATCTACTTGGCACCAGCCTCAGTTAGTACTATTGTGTTGTGATGCTGTAGTGTTTGTGTTGAGCTGCTCAGGTGGACTCGGGTTAGCCGTGAAGGCTGCTCTGTTTGAGCAGCAGGGGCCACAAATGATGTGGTCACTGCCGATGGGTACGTAGTCCTGAGCAGACTCTGAGGTTATTCCACCCGTCGCAAGCATTGCACTTGACTGAGGTGGAGTTAAGGTGTAGTCGTCTCTGGCATACACAGCAGGTGTAGGTTTCTGGCCCTGGGTTTGACTCGATGCCAGCCCTGAGCAGAAGAATACGTAGCAAATGTAGCCCTATGGACGAACAACTTCTGAGATACTTCGCCGACCTAAACGGGGTTAGATCGCCGAAACAACAGCCCTTGGTCGGGCAGACGGGGAACAGACTTGGCTGAGCAGATAGACGATTCGACATTCTGCACAATGAACGACGACGCAATACACTGCACTTAGGATAGCGACTGGATGCCTTCAGATGTCAACAGAACACCATCTGCACGACGAGGCGAAAATGCAATAATATAAAGGTATGGTTATTGTGCTTGACACATGAAAGCAAAATATTGAAAAATATTGAAATCGGACTAAAATTACGGCCGCTTTTCATATCGACTGCCAGTTCGAAAACGCCCTATCTCAAAAGTATTCACGAACGCCCTATTTCAGAATTTTATTGAAAAACCCTCTATCTCAGAATTTGGTTGAAGAACGCCCTATTTCAGAATATGATTCAAAAATGCCCTATCTCACTTCAAAATATATTGAAAATGTTCTGATATAGGTCGTTTTCAAAACGAACTCTGAAATAGGCGTTCTTCAACCTAATTCTGAAATAGAACGTTTTCGAAACGTTTTTTGAGATAGGGCGTTTTCGAACCGGCTGACGAGATAGGTCGATCTTCCACTCAGCAGTCGATATAACGATAAATTTCACAAATCCTTGAAACTTAAATATTGCGAAATTTAAGGACGCCAATTTACTCAAAATTGATACACCCCGGCTTACCATGTAGCGGTAGCTTTCGGAAAGGTGAAAAATATATATTTAGTACTTGCGCCGGGTATTTAATGTTCGGCTCCGCCCGAACGTAGACTTTCTTACTGTTTTATTTTATTTGTATGTATGTTACCGCATAACTTTGGACCACGTTAATTGATTTCTATAATTCTTTTTTTTTAAAGGAAAGGTGTTACCCCACAGGTGTTCCCATAATAATTAGATTTAAATCCGATCATTGGATCATGAAGAAATTAACGATAATCTTAAATTTGTATGTATATGAGTGCTGAAGTCGCTTTTGTTTTTTGCTTAAAAATCATTGTTTTAATAAAAATATGTACATAGAGTAAAAACTAAACAATAAAATTCTATGGCGACATAACCTAAAAAACTTAAAATGCAAAATAAAGTAGTGGAAACAAAGTAGAAGGAAATGCACCACGTCATGCACTAAAAATATACCTACACATATTTTTACGTATTAATATTTATGAGCGCCTAGCATCTGCAGTTTATTATATGCATCCATAAATACATACAGAGTTGATGCATATATCCATATCATGGAGCGGAAACACATGATTTCGTTTCGTGAATACACAAAAAATTCGTGCATGTACATATGTCATATACATACATTATGTACTTTATCACGGAAGTAAGCGTAAAAATATGAACAAAAAATATAGCATAAGCAAGGAGAGATTTTGAAGAAGTACTTAAAATATCTTAAGCCATATCGAATGCGCCTTGGGCACAGATGTAAATGTACAAGCACTTGACATAGTGAACTCCCGTCGAAAAGCGGCAAAAGTAAAGTCATTTCGGATTGTTGCTGCTTTTACGCCAACGTGTCATAAGGCCAGCCGTGTTAACTGTTGTAGTCGATTCGGCTTTTACAAATCATTGCTGTTTATCATGTTTTCAAATTTATGAGCCTTTTCTCAAAAGATGAGTATATAATGGCTGGCTGGCTGGAAATGGAGACACGCAAATATTCATACAAGTGAGAGGCAATTTTGAAGATAGTTGAAAATATGGGTTACTGAAATTTAGTTCCTCGCTGCAGCATAGTTTAATGTAAGAGTATGCACGAACATGTACATATATGTAAACCGTCGATTGTCTTATTTAACTAAATTTGAATATGAATGTACTATGTTTAATCTATTGTATCTCATTCCAAGTTTAATTTTTACATACCTGCTATAGTAAAGCGATCCATATAGTTGATTAGATTCACAAAGCACAGCACCACCACCGTAAACCATTGTGTCTTTGTGATTCCGGTGGTTGGTCGTTGTACAACAGCGCTATCCGTGTCTGACGAAGGAGGCATTAATTGCTGCGATGAACAGGTGGCGGGTAGACTAGCCTCCACGGAATTGCTATCGGCTTCCACATCACCACTGGACCCTGAAAGTGCTGGATTGTCCATTCTTGTGGTTATTGGCATATAACGAGTAGACGATTGTGAAGACATTCACGTGGAATTTCTGCAAAAATTCCAAACACAGCCCCAATATTGAACCGCGCACACACGTACACCGCAGCAATTACAATTTATGCTGCTATAAAAGTATTTTTTATAAAATTATGTTATTGAATTCTGATTCAGCCCACTTCCTGCACTTTTTAGCGGTCTTTGCGAATTTGTATTGTACACACGTCCGTTTGACGTTCCGTTGCACGCACTGCTTTAGCTAGATTTTGCTTTGGATTGAGTTTCTTGTTAGTGGCCTTGATTTGTTATTGTATATTTCTCTGCCTTAAAATCGCGATTTATATTATTTAAGGTGCATTGGTTTATACGTCGCACAAACTTATATTTTACACAATATTATACTTTCTTCCAAAGAATTCCAAGTAAATTTAACAAAAATAAACTCCCGCAAATGGCTTTACCGCGATAGCTTTCTTTGTTAAAAATTTACAACCAAACGCGAGAAATGTGAGAAACAAACTGCCACTGTAAAATGAGTACACCAATTTTAGGAAAATCTGATTGGAACTGGGCGCAGAGTTGCATTTCATTCAGTGTTGCCGCGATCGTGAAAAAAATTGCCAAAATCGACAAAATATTTAGTAACCTTTTTAACGGGTTATAAAGCTCAGTTAGTCCACACTCAAGAAGAGCTTTAAAAAAGTAGATTTTTTGAGCGGGTTCTTCGCCATCCTTTTTTACTGGAAAACGAAAGCAAAGTAAACAAATCAAAGAAAACAACGAAAACCAAAATTAGGGTCAGCCACATTGAACACACAATTTAACTAAAATTATTCAATAAAACCTTTTACAACGTTTACGGACGTTTGAAAATGCGACGACCGCGGGTTAGGAGTTGCATGGAGCAACATTTCCTGGAACTTTATGCGGGATATGGATAACAGTCTTCCTAAATTAAAATTGAAAAACTGATTGAAACGGCAACTCTTATGACTATGAATTTTTTGAGAATTTTCCTTTTTGACTAGTTTAATCCATTGTGAGTTTAATCATGAACGAAAGACACAAGATCACGTCTTAAGCTGAAATTAGTCAAGAACGTAAACCTACCGGTACGTAAACCCGAGTCAGCTGACACGATCTGTCTTACCAAAGCGCCATGTAAATGAAAACTCAACACCGCAGAATTTTTCTGTAGTTGTAGCCCGTAGCGCAGAAATCTGCGGAATTTAGATTTTTCCGTGTCAGCTGATTTCTCCTTCTTTAGATGGTTGCCACTTCGTCAGTTTTGTAGATGGTAAAAAAGTTATAAGTTCCTATTCGAAATATGTTTAAAATATTTGAAATTTACTATTATATAAGGTTTTTGTTGAAAACTAAGTAGTTTATATTTAGTTACAATCTATTATAGCACGAAAAATTGT